AAATAAAATGTATACAAACCTTTATTTCCCGGAAAGAGTGCACCAAATCAGCGGCGCTGAGAACCGCTCTCTCCTGTAGGATGCAAAAAACCCGCGCACTAACTGTAACTCAGCAGCTGGGCTGTTTCGTCGGAGAGGCTCAACTGAGCGGTTGGGTAGAAAAAAATAATCCAGCGTTAAAACTGACCCAGCAACTTAGTCACAGAAAAACTACCCAGCACCTGGGTAAAAATATTTAAAATAACCCAATAAAATGACCCAACAGGCTGAACCCAGCATTTGTTTTTAGAGTGTACTATCACATTGTTTTCTCAAAACTAGTATGCAATATACAGTATGTACTATAACTGCATACTGCATTCAAGTCACATGACACTGTAGTTTAATACAGTTAGACATGTTTATCGCAAACTACTCCATACGATCAAATATTTTGTCAAAAATAGTATGTAATATATACAGTATGCACTATCACTGATTTAAAGTCACGTGACACTGTAGATTTATAGAGTTTAAAAAGGTTTATTGCTACCTATTGCATGCTGTTTTTCAAAACTAGTGGGCAGTATGCAGTATATACTATAAATGCATGCTACAGTGAAGTCGTGTGGCAATCTACCATAATGGAGATGTTTATCCTTACCTAATGCATACTCCTTCACATACTGCCTACTGTTTTTTTTAATTAGTATATGCTGCACAGTCAAGCAAGACTATAGTATTCCATCAGGAGTGTGTGTGCGAGTGAAGTGGTCAGGCTTTACTCCGACTTCACTCAGTTCAAGTCATCACACGCTCTCTCGCCCTCCTGCATACAGAGCTGACTGAATATATTTGTGTTTTCACAGAACCTGCAATGGGCACGAGACGTGTTGCTAGGGAGCAGTGTCCCATGGCAACAGCTGAAGCACATGCCAGCACAAGGACTTTTCTGCGAGAGGAATAAGACCAATCTGTTCAACGTAAGTCACATACGAATGCAGCTGCGCTTATATGTCAAAGTTCACCGTATCACAGCTACAGCATGATCCAGTCTGGAAATATTAGTGGTGTGTATATCTGGCAGAGTGAGTCTGCTGTTCATACACGTGTGTGTGTGATGAATGCCATCATGAGTTCCTGCGATTCAGTGCAGTAAAATCCCTTCACACACACACACACACACACACAGACATAAATCCAGAGAGATTACGACTCCTCACTGAAAATGCCCTAAACTGGCTGGATTTACAGTCCTCGCTGCACACCATGAGGCAGACAGATGGCATCACTATGGTGTGTGTACATGTGTTGTTGCTGTTTTGCCCAGTGGCCTTTTGGCACATTGGTACAGTCCTCAAAGAGCGGAGGCCGTAACATTAGTGTTGTGTTAGTGTTAGTGTGTCTACCTTTGGCTGTGGGTGCGGTCGCTGTGAGGAAGCAGCCTGTGGCTTTGTCAGTTTTGGCACATGGCTGTATAAAAACACTCGGGCGTCACGTCTCGCTGGGCTTCAGAGCTCTGCCCACTAGGGTACACCAACCTCGTGCCCACCTGTTCTCAGCTTATGGGAAAATCCTCACATACACGAGCAGCATCCGGTCCAGGGCTCATGGAAACTTCAAGAGCTTTTGCATTTTATTATGGTGGTAAATTTAGAGCCGTTTTTATGGTTATGTTTTTAATCTAACGGATATTCCATGTTGCCCAGTTGTAGGGCTGGGCATTGCATTTCGTTGCCTTGTACCTTACATGTGCAATGACAATAAAGTTGAATCTAATCTAATCTTGAATCTATAGCTAAAAAAATTTATCAACGATATAATGTTTCATATCGTTCGGTATCGATAATTATTGAGATTTTTATAACCTTTTTTAAAACAAAGAGCAATAGAATTTTTTTTTACATTTAACCACTGTATTTTAAATTAACTCAATTTATTGAGACAAACAACAAATATTTTTTTGTTTTAACAGTCAAAAACAAAATTAAAATTAAACAAATATCTAATTTCTAATGTTTTATATGCAGATTAAATAGGTTAAACTTTTGGCTTGTCTCCCGAGGCCACATGAGCAAAAGTATGCAGCATATTAAATTGTCAACGCAAGGAAGTAACTGTCTATAAAAAACGTGCATTACGTCTAAATTAACTCATATAAATCAAATATAATTTCGTAAATTGCAACAATTATGAACAAAACAGCATCATGTATTTGTGCATTGCTTAATATAAAGAGCCGAATCGCCCATCACACAGATTGCCTTTAAAGGGGTCATATGATGTTGCTAAAAAGTTTATTTTGTGTATTTGGTGTAATGAAATGTGTTTATGCGGTTTAAGGTTCAAAAAACACATTATTTTCCACATACTGTACATTATTGTTTCTCTATGCCCCGCCTTTCTGAGAAACGTAGATTTTTACAAAACTCATCGATCTGAAAAGCGAGGTGTGCTCTGATTGGCCAGCTATCCAGTGCGTTGTGATTGGCCGAATACCTCAAGCATGTGACGGAAATGTTACGTCCCTTACGATATTGTGATGCCTTGTCCCAGCTGGAGCGATGAGACAAAAACATTAAAACCTATTATCAACGAGGCATTTGTTGCATCCAGTGCGGGACATAATTACGGATTATAATGACTTATACTGTCTTTTTATGCATTGCATTGCATCGCGCCGTGTAAACATAAAACCATGTCTGCATTTGTGATCGGAGAAATGACAAACAA